TGACCATGCTAGCAGAGTATTTGCCCCAGTTCTTGCCTGTGTATTTAACAAGTCTGGCCACGCAATTCATACTTCAGTACTAATTCTATAGTCTGTGCCCATGGCAGGATGGCAGCTTGTTTACACAAGTTTCAACATTGTTATTAACATCATCCGGTGCTTTTAACTACTGTGCTACATTTAAATATGTTTTCAGTCTCCAAAGGCCTAAGGACATGGACAACAGTTACACTTCAAAAATCATTAGACTCTACCTGATGTAAACTCGAATATGACCTCTGGGAAAATGAAACACAATCAAACTGCTTACTCCTTAGTGCTCTGTCTCCACATGTAATGTCATTTAAGAATATATTAAGTTATAAAAAGTGCTATTTTGGGAAAATGGCACAAGTGACATTCAGAGGTCAAATTGAGCTCTATTTTCAGAGAATTCTATTGAGACTGGCAAAAAACAATGGTTTACAGTTACTGAATCATATTTTCATGCCAAATTCTTGGCCAAGTCCTTTACATAAAGCAGCTTATTTAATCTTCACAACAAATTGCAGAAATGTGGCTGCCTGGTTTGCTGCACATCCAACTTGTTTTCTTTTGTTTTGTGCACAGAGGTAAGCTGATTTCTCAGTCTCTCCTGCAGTCACATGCAGCCATGGGACTGAGTCCTGGCGATAGAATATGGCAAGAAACAAGGAAAGTATGCTCCAGGCTAAGCCCACGCAACTTTGCCCAATTTTTTCAGGCTCTCTCACTTTTCCCATTGGCTGGCTGATGGCAGAGATCTGCAGAGCAAAAAGAGGAACTAGGAAATGGCAAAAGCTTTGCAGTGGGGGCGATGTTCGGGGCAGGGAAATGGGGAAGAGCTAAATCACCACTCTGGATGCCATGTTCAGAATCCCCTCAATATACTGTATGTAAGGATGAGGTAAAATTCTCTAGACCTTGGGGCTGGAGAGATAGTACAGAAAGTAGGACACTTGCCTTGCATGCAGCCAACCCAGGTTTGATCACTGGCACCCCATATGTTTCCCCGAGCACTGTCAGAATGATTCCTGAGTGCAAAGTCAAGAGTAACCCCTGGGCATCACTAGGTGTGAACTAAAAGCCAAAAAAAAAAAATACAATTAAAAATTCTCTAGCCCCAAGTTACTGACATGCAGGTTGATTTTTATTCCCCCACCTTTGTTTCAAATAATAGATAGAACTACAAGTATTTGCATAAGCCTAGAGAATAAATGACCATGGTCACAAAGCTGGTAAAATGTGAAATGCCCGTATTCCAAAGTACTGTCCTCAGAATCATGCTATTAACTACTGTTTGATTATATTTATCTTTCAATATAAAATGTTCATCCTATAAACCATAAACTTCTCCTAGGTTGAATTTATTTATTTTTTAAAAATTTTATTGAATCACCGTGAGATAGTTACAAGCTTCCATGTTTGGGTTACAATCACACAATGATCAAACAGATCAAACACCCATCCCTCCACTAGTGCACTTTCCCCACCACCAATATTCCCGGTATATGCCCCCTTTCCCACCCTCCCCCTGCCTCCATGGCAGACATTATTCCCCATAATGTCTCTCTACTTTTGGGCATTATGGTTTGTAGTACAGACACCGAGAGGCCATCATGCTTGGTCCTTTTATCTACTTTCTGCACACATCTCCCATCCCGACCGATTCCTCCAGCCATCATTTTCTAAGTTGATCCTTTCTCTATTCCAGCTGCCTTCTCCCCTTTGCTCATGAGGCAGGCTTTCAGCTAAGGAGCAATCTACCTGTCCTGTGTATCTACTATCCTTAGGTGTCAGCCTCATGTTATGTTGAATTTACTATAATTGAGGGAGTCTAGCGGAAAGAAGGCCAAAGAGTATGACAGAAATAATAATTACTTCAAATAAACCCTCTAGTTTCTCTATCTCTTTACTAACTGTGTAAGGGTGGAGTTATACTATTTAAGTACCTATGTGTGATACCTCATTACTTTGTGAAAGTTTAGAGGTTTATAGAAGTTATTAATGTTATATAACCCCCGTCTTCCACTCCCCTCCCCAAGAATCCTTAGTGGCTTAAAACTTAAAAACTTACATTATCTCTCCTAGTTTCTGTCTTCAAAATCCATGAGAGGCTTGGGGACCTCCAACTGGGTTATACTCATGAAGTAACTTGAAGCCCATCATTTGAGACTTAATCAGCATGCAAAGATTCACTTCCAAAGTAGCTTACTCCTTGGGCTAGCAAGTTGGTGCTGCTGTTGGTAGGAAGCCTCTTATCTTCGCACAGGGCGATATGGTTGTACTCACAACTAAGTAGCTTGCTTCCCCGCCAATACAAAGCAAATTCTCCGATGTCTCCTATGACTAGTCCTCAAAGTCACACACTTACTTTTTGCAGTCACACTGGGATCAAAATTTCGACTGATCATGGGATGAATATTGGGATTCCCCTTGTCTAGTATACAAGGGGATTAATACTAGGAAAAAAGGCGGGGAGCCCTTTGGTAGGCTTGCCACCACAAGAATCCATTTAGCTGGCAAATGCACATATTTATGTAGGACAATGCGATAAATGAGACAAAGTTCTTCCTTTCAAGCTTCTTCCTTTTGTGAAGCATAATTTCTTGCTGACAGACAGTAAGTCAAATATATAGTATTCTAGCTATGGAGAGAGATAGAAAGCAAAGTCAATGTGGTGGAAGTTCTGGAGGGTGGGACTGTTTTTAATTTTAGGCAGATACCAAGGCGAGTTTCATTAAGAAAGCTTGAAAGACTACGGTACATCTGCACAATGGAATACTATGCAGCTATTAAAAATGAAGTAATAAAATCTGGTTATAAATGGATGGACATGGAGAATATCATGCTGAGTTAAATGAGTTAGAAGGAGAGGAACAGATATAGAATGATTACACTCAGTTGTGGGATATTAGGGGAAAAAAACACCAAAACACACAGCATGAGATTACTACTCAAGGACAGCAGAAACAAGGGCCAGAAGGATCTATCCATGGTTGGAAGTCTACCTAAAGTGCTGGGAGAGAAAAGGCAGTTGGGATAAAGAAGGGACCACTATGGCAATGATCACTCTGGATAAGTAGGTAAAGGAGCAAACATGATAAACTCTTGGTATCTGTATTGTAAGCAATAATACCCAAAAGGAGGGAGAGTGAGAGAGAAAAAAAAAAAGAAAAGTGGGAGGTTGAGGAGGGGGGTGGGAGGGATACTGGGGATTGGTGGGGAGTGTACACTGGTGAAGAGATGGTAGATGTTCCCAAAATTGTATGATGGGAACCTGATCATGAACAGCTTTGTAAACTGTGTATCTCATGGTGATTCAATTAAAAAAAAAGGAAAGCTTGAAAGTAGCAAGGATTGTGCCATGTATGTACACAAAGGAAGACTATTCACAGTACCAGAAGCAGCAACTGTAAAGACCTTTGGGTGGGTGTGGGTGACGTGTGAGAAACAAGAAGGCAGGCAAGGGGACTATAAAAATGCAATCATGGGGCCAGAGCAATAGTACAGTGAGGAGGGCATTTGCCTTGCATGTGGCTGACCCGGATTCAATCCCTGGCATCCCATACAGTCCCCCAGCACCTCCAGAAGTGATCCCTGAGTGAAGAGCCAGGAGTAACCAATGAGCATTGCTGGATGTGGCCCCAAAAGCAAAATAATTTTTTTTTAAAAAAGCAACCGCAATCATGGAAGAGGTTCCAGGAAATAGGCAGTGCCAGAAAGACTATTAAGATTTTCTAGGCTCTGATATTATCTCAGTGAAATGGGAAGCAAGCAGATGATTCTTAGCAGAAAACAGATAAGCTCTGACTCAGCATTTCAAACATCTTACTCCGATACTGGTATCAGAATACACAGGCTAAAGGTGGGAACAGAGACATAGTCTAGGAGGTTCTAGAAATGCAGCGATGACCATGTCTTGCATGGAAGTACTGCCAATGACCTGGTGAGAAAATTCAGATTTTGGATTTGTTTTGTATTTATCTAAGCACAAGCAGTTCATCATTCTAAATAAAAGGAATATAGTTTTAGAATTAGTGGCTTTCAAGTGGTGCTGGAGGTTCTGAGAAGTCCCTTAGGGATATGATATTAGGACGTGAAATAGTATAGATGCGTGAAGCTTCACATGCCCGCTTCACATTTTATAAGGATAGCCGTGTTGGCACATTTCATCATTATGTGTGGAGAAAGATCTTTAAGATCAGAGAATCCCAGATCCTAAAAGAAAATACTGTATACAAACATACAGACAAGGATATAACCCCTACTCCCACATATACAAACTGTATGAAAATACTAGTTATAAAACTGAAAGGAAAACTCTAGAAAACACAACTAATGCCCAAATAAAAGTTTAATATTCTAAATATAAAAATATATCAATAAATGAGCTAGAGTGAAAACCTAGGAGCAGGCAAGGCACTTGTCTTGCTGGGCTAGACTGGGGTTGGATCCCTTGTGCCACATATGAGCCCAAAGAGCCCTACCAGAAGTGATCCATGAGTGCAAAGCTGGATTAAGCAAGCTCTGAGGTCCAAAAAAATCAAGACAGCGACCACGTTAAAAAATGGGCCAAAGTTTTTTCACAGTGAGGTGCACAATGAATAACTTCCTTCACCGGATTGTTGTGGGGATAAAATGTCTTCAAACATCTCACTCTGGTACCTGTATCAGATACAGGCAAAGGTGGGAATAGAGACGTAACCTAGGAAATTCTCTAGAAATCCAGAGATGACCATGGTCTGCATTACAAAAAATGCTTTACGGCACATACAAGAAAAATGTTCAATGAACATAGCTTACAGCTGTTCCCACTGGAAGCATCCCTGTTGCTCCCAATATCACTGGGTGATGATTGTGACAGACATGACCACCACTATTGGCAGCTTCACCACAGCAGCCCAAGAGCTAGATCTGTAACACAAACCCGCAGCAACCCTCAAGGGCCATTCTTCACTCAAATAACCAACACACCTTACCTTTTCATGATTTTCAATGAGGATCTCAATGACAATGTTCTGAAATTTGATGTCCATGATAGCTGCTACTGTTTCTTCCTGGGGCCGCAGCAAGGTAGGTCCAAACACCACACCAAGGTTTGCCACAGTCATCAGATTCTGTTTGTGGTTGTTAGCAACACTGAGAGGGAGAAAGAAAAGGGACAAATGGGAGAAGCCATATATGAAGAGATTGTTGAGTTTCCCATTTCTTCCTATCTTCATACTATTCACCTGCTAGGGGCCAGACCTCAGGAGAAATATGGATGTCCTAGGAATGAATTCAAAGCAAGATTCTTCCAGCATATTTTCATCTACTTAAGTTTCAGAAAACTTTCTAACTCAGGTTAGTTGTCTTTTTTAGGATATGATACTCATTATTTCTATTTTGCTTAAAACAAAACAACCAAAGCAGCAGCTTTCCAAAATGTGAGCCTTTCTCATGTGAATTCCTGTTCTGCAAATTTAGGAAACTGCTAATTTCTTTTAGTAACAACGTTTATATTTGGCTGTTGATTTGTGATCATTAACATTCTTGCTTGTGCAAATAAGAAGTTCTGACAGTTTAAATATGTTCACAAATGTAGGCACAAAACAGACCTAATTTTTAAAACAGGAAGATGTGATCATGTAATGCGGTCAAGAAATTCATTACTTTAGTCCGAAGATAGTAAAAACCGATCACATTGAACATATGGTTTACATTAAGTGAGAATTAACATAAATAGGAGTGAAAACACAGCAGTGTATGTCCATATATTTGGCGCATGCAGGGTTAGTAGTAGCTGGGTCTCAGCAATTTACTAAAACAGATGTATATTTGTGGATAAAGAATAATTTAAAACATATATATACACAGGACACCATAATGTTGTCATAAAACTTGTTCATTTTTTGGCAATGCACATAAAAATACACAAATTATCTACTGAAAACAAGTAAAAGTTAAGGTCATTCAATATTAAGAAAATATTGGGACTTCTCTAAATCACCTGTTAGAAAAAGGAAAGTATTCATGACTAACGGGGAATTCTAGAGAAAAATTGGACAGAAATGGCAGTTTACACAGACATACCTCCCCAAGATTTAGTGCTATTTATACTGAGCATTTTCACACAGTTCTATGAATGCCTACACTGTTTCTCTTGTAAACTTATATTCTGTAGGAGGAAAAGAGTTTCTACTGCCTTAAGTGCTGGTTTTGAAACTGAGAATTTACTGAAGCATTACATCAACGAGTTTTATCAGCAGATGTGGACTTTTCTATAATTTCCTCAGGCTGAAAATCTAATTTCATAAAACTTACTTCTCCAAAAGGAACACGGAGGATGGCTAGGTGTATGAACTTTAAGTGTGGAAAAGGATAGCAAGGTTAGGCGGGGAAATGCTTTCTTATTACTAAGAAACACCCAGTGAAATTTGCTACTAGTATCCTGGCCTGAATTTTGTTCAAGTGTTTTCAAACTATTTCTGAGTTCTAGTCAAATTTTCTGATTTTATTCAAGAGTTTTTCATACTGCCCCAAACAGTATTACATGTAGAGTCTGGAAGTATAAATGCAGATGCCCAGTGTTATTTTATTTTTATTTTGTTTTGGCTATCCACACCGGAAGTGCACAGGGAAACATGTGCTTCTGGGGATCAATCCCAGATCTTCTCATACAAAGCATAGACTCAACCCTTTGAACATCTCTCCAGCAAGGAAGATGGTAAAGCTCTTCTCTGGCAAGGGAGAGAATCTGGTTCTATACGCCTAAACCAGCAAGCATGCACATTTATAAGCTGCTACAATATCGTTATTTTCAACATCATCTTCTATGATGAAGAGGATTCCATGCTCATAGACACCCCACCTAAATGTGAGGAGTCCTATGAGAGATGTATGGAAGCACATTAAAATTGATGATCAACATTAAAAATTATAATTTGGAGGTCATGGTTTTTCACTATAGTGCTGTTCCCAGAGTCTATACCTGCTCTACCAAGTCATTTTTTGAGAACTACAATGGACTTACACGTCCTGGGTTGAAGAACACAATAATAGAGCACACATGAAACATTTTGCAATAATTCATTTGATTGAATTGTTGATAGTGATCATTAAAAGCTCTTGATAGGCTCCATTGTTTGAAACACAAAGTTCAAAAGTCTTGAAACAGCTCACCTTTTCTCAACTCATATCGAAGGCCATCTCCTAGTTCTAGCTCCCTGATCAAGAGATTCAATATGTCTAAACATTGTAACATTGGGTTCCTTATCTATTCTTTAAAGGGGGTGGCAGGCTTGGGGTAAACAATACACCTATTTCATAAGGTTTCTAAATAGAATAAATATTTGGAAATACAGGTTACTAAAAAATTATTCACTATCATCCCATGCCTCTTCGCTTTTAGTGAAAATTATTCACTATCATCCCATTCTCTGCCTAGAATGTTCTTATTTTTAATTTTCTTGGGCAACTGCTTATGTTCAAGGTTCAGTTCTATGGCTCCCTTCCTTCTGGAGTTTCTATCTGGTCTTCCTTCTATACCTCAACAAAGACAGAAGTGTAAGTTGGCTGCTCTAATTATTACATGCAATTAATGTTCCACTGCTGCTTTAGGAACAGAGACTGTGCTTATTTTGCTCACCAGCATTGAGCAAAACACATGGCCCAGAAGAGTTTCTGAGTAGAAATACAATTACTCTCAATGTAGTTTCATACATGCAAGACCTCAAATTACTATTGATGATTTTGGGGAATGTATCTCAACTATCCAAACCTCCCTTTCAAAGTCAAGATCTGTGTTCCATTTCTTAGATTTAATTAATGACTAGTAATTATTCTGATTTGCAGGCCCCAATGCCCAAAGGCATTTGGAAAAAAGAATCAGTAATTCTGCATAAGCAACTCTGAATATAAATAGGCTTGAGGCTATCCAACATAATTAATTTCCTTTTTAATGATCCATCTTAGTTTAGAATTAAAAACACACACACACATTGATCTACGTCTTACAAAACATTTTTTTGTGAAAAAAATCTTCACCTTTCATTACTAACTACCATTATCTATTGGCACTCTGAAATAATAAATTGATCTATCACTTGATTACTTCTGCTCACAACTTGGTATGGCTAAATTCATTACTTTTGAATGAATTATTCATGGTTCAAAATCTCTGTATCCCAGAGAGAAAGGCCTAGACCTCGCCTCTATTGGCACCAGCCATCCATTATATCTTGAAGAATTTACAGAGGTGTGGGAGGCAGACTGGCAGAGTACTGGGAAGCCTGGTCCAGCTGAAGCCACGGGACTCATTCATTAGTGAGGTCTATAAAACACCCAAAGCCAGCCTTCTGGCTTGGTAACTGAGCTGATAGAGTTCCTCTTCACACAGTCCAGAATGGCATGTTCAGTCTTGACTTCAAATCCACAAAAAGAAGTTCCTTATAAACTGCACATTCCTTTGAAGGAGTTTTTGAGTGTCTTTCAGATCTAGGTCTACACGAACAATTTTGTGGAGAGCCACCTACTATCCTACTTTGCAGGTTCCAAAGACACAGTTTCACATGTGATTTTTAACTGTGAAAGGCCTTTCTCCTCTGTGATCACTTAACATTAGCTGGATCACCAGCTGAAGAGGCAGGCTGCCTCCTGAGGGGCATGCCTTCACAGCAGTTGTCAGGGAACTTGTACCCCGTGTTCCCTGCAGTTCTCTCCTTTGAAATTAATGAGGAGAGAACACAGCCAGGATATATGGCTTTGACCCCAGAGCTTCTTGCGACCTTTGTTGAGAAGCATAATAGTTGGGGCCTCTGACTTGGTCTGACAGTCTTTGGGGGTCAGAAGGAGACAAACTGCTTCCAGATGAAGAAGGTCATGGTGAGAACTAGAAAGAAGCCAACCCTTTGGAGACCTATAATGCAAAGACTCCCATGTTGTCATAGGGATTCCATCTGTTTTCCTAGCATTTATATGGGAGCTAGAGCTCTGTAAGTGCTAAGCAGTACTTCAGAACCACAGACTGGCCCTGTTGAACTCCAACAATATGCCCATTACGGGTTTGTAAATAAGTTTCATCTTGACATCTGGAGTGTGGTATAGCACTGTATAGCACTGTCCTCCCGTCGTTCATCAATTTGCTCGAGCTGGCACCAGTAATGTCTTCACTGTGAGACTTGTTGTTACTGTTTTTGGCATATTGAATATGCCACGGGGAGCTTGCCAGGCTCTGCCATGCAGGTGGGATACTCTCAGTAGCTTGCCGGGCTCTCTGAGAGGGACAGAGAAATTGAACCCAGGTCGGCTGCATGCCAAAGCAAACGCCCACTGTGCTATTGCTCCAGCCCCTGGAGTACGGTATGGAATCAAATCAAAGCTGAGTTCTAACTTCACTGGACACAATGTGGTGACATATTAGCATTATCTGTGATGTGCTGAATGGGTAGAATAACAGGCATACTGATCTGCCTTCTTTTATTAGTTTGCTTCAACATAGAATTGTAGGGTATTTTTCAGTATACAAGAAGCTCTATATCAAATTTTAATGTTTATTTACTTTTAAATAACTCTAAAACAAAGGCTCTCAAATTTACTGGCAATGGTAGACTACATATATTCTTAAGTAACATTTTACTAGCATGCATTTATATATAAATACATATATTTATAAAAATATAATATATACACATACACACATAGATGATCATAAACACATAAATAAATACATATGCCAGATAAAATATTAGAGTAACTGGGACTCTTTTTTGTTCTATTCTTTTTTTAAAAAAAAGAAGACTAAAATCAATTGCACAACTCACTATGTCATGACCTACAATTTGAAAAATGCTAGTCAAATGATGTAAATTACGATCTCTCGTTTACAAATATTTGAGCTCTCATTTACAGACATTATCTCTCATTTACAAATAAGGGGAGGGAGCACTACGGCAGGCAGTTGTAGTACAGTGGCTGGAATCAGCTATATATTTCTAACTGGATGTCAGTAGACAAATTGCTTTTCTAAACTCATTTTCTCACCTGCACACCAGGAGCAATAATACCCACTCCAGTAAACTTCTAAAACTGATTTGGCATAAAATAATGACTTAGTAAGTTACTTTGTAAGTGCCATGGTACTGGTTGAGGTAGTGATCACA